AATGGAGCCATCATGCCTGGCACCAAACAAATCTCCCTAAAAGGACCAATTGAATCTACTCGTTGAGCTGTCTTCTTCATTGCCTCAACCCGTGTCTGGAGTAGTGGCAGGAACACAGGGGCTGCTCAATCCTTACTTCTTGGCAGAGAACAAAGTCAGTAAACGAGAGTTCCTGGGGCCCAGCACTTGGATTTCCCTCCTGCCTTGGCCGCCACTGGGTCCTCCTGCTGTTGTACGGATCAGGATGTGGAAAGAGGCCTCATCTCTCTTCCTTCTACCTTCATTTTTCCCATGGTGAGCTGCAAGACTGCCCTCAGCAGGCCAGCACAGTGATCCAATTGGCTAATCCTCCCCCTTGCAGTCCCAGAATCTCATTTGAGCACCAGTTCTAGTCCCATCTATTCTGATTTCCATGCAGTTCCCTGTTTGTGGCCTGGGCCACAAACCTTTGGGCCCTGGTACCCACTTGACAGATCTGGAAGAATCTCCTGGCTCCTGGCATCAGTATAGCTCTGTCTGATGTGGCCACTTGTGGAATGAACCAGTGGTTGCAGTCTCTCTCTCTCTCCTCCTCTCTGTAAATCTGCCTTCCCAATTAAATAAATACATCTTAAAAAAAAAAAAAAAAGGAAAAAGGAAAGGAAACTTAGATGCAGTCTGTTGGAGACACTTCTTTTTTTTCCTCTTAAAGATTTATTTATTTTTATTGAAAAGTCAGACATATACAGAGAGGAAGATCTTCTGTCCGATGATTCACTGCCCAAGTGACTGCAACGGCCAGTGCTGCGCTGATTCAGAGCTAGGAACCAGGAGCTTCTTCCCGGGCTCCCATGTTGGTGCAGGGTCCCAAGGCTTTGGGCTGTCTTCAACTGTTTTCCCAGGCCACAAGCAGGGAGCTGGATGGGAAGTGGAGCTGCGGGATTAGAACTGGCACCCATATGGGATCCTGACACGTTCAAGGCAAGGATTTTCACCACTAGGCCACAGCACTGGGCCCAGAGGCACTTCTAAAATCCAGCTACATGTCAGGCAGCCATCAAGCACAGCTAGGCTGGGTTTCCATAATGAAGGAGTTGGTGGCATCTCAAAACAAGACTGTTTGAACACCTGTGGTCACCTGTAGCTAGGATTTCCTAAACCTGGATCATCCAAGAACACCTGGGAGAAACGCCATTTCCATCTGCCGCAGAGGTCCTGGATTCAGTGCACCTCCACGGGTCAGGAGCTCCTGAATTTGGAGTTTAATGAATTCCACTGATCTGCACAATTGAGAGCCACTGACCTGTCCCTCAGGGGATGTGCATGTCCTTGGAATGGCATGAGACCTTGGCACAAGGACCCACTAATCTGTTCAGAAATTGTGATCCCCTGGGCCTGATGTGGTGGCCTAGTGGCTAAAGTCCTCGCCTCACATGCATTGAGATCCTATATGGGCACCGGTTTTTATCCTGGCTGCTCCACTTGCCTTCCAGCTCTCTGCTTGTGGCTTGGGAAAGCAGTAAAGGATGGTCCAAAGCCTTGAGACCTGCGTAAGAGAACAGGAAGAAACTCCTGGCTCCTGGCTTCGGGTCAGCTCAGCTCAGGTTATTGTGGCCACTTGGAGAGTGAACCAGTGGACAGAAGATCTTTCCCTCTATCTGTCTTTAAATCTGCCTTTCCAATAAAAATAAATAATAAATCTTTTTAACAAAACATTTTTAAAAACGTTGTGATCCCCAAATTCCAAATCACCGAAGGGGAGAAAAGACCTAACAACATTTAGTTGTCTGCCATCCCAGTAGACTTTGCACTCATCAAATAGCCCTTTAGGCAATTCACAATGTGCGGCTTCCCCATCTGCCTTGGGTACCTTGATGACTCATGGCTATTGGAAGATGATGGTCGGTTCCACCAAGGTTATGCTGATGTGCAGATTGCTGGGAGATGGGAATAAATAAATCTTTAAAACAGTAACAACAACAAACTCTTCACATCCTAATCCCTGGAACCTGTGAATGCTTCTGATAAAACATTCTGTGGTTACGGCTGGCCTCAGAGCCTCGAGATGGGGAAGTTATCCTGGGGTGTTTGACATGAATCCTTAAAGGTGGAAGCGCTGGAGGTGGCATTGTGCTGTAGCACATTAAGCTGCTGCTTGTGATGCAGGAACACCCCAGGAGTGCTGGTTTGAGTCCAGCGGCTTAGTAACTGATGTGCCTAGGAGGAGAGCAGAAGACATGGTTACTTGGGCCTCTGCCACCCATGTACAAGACCTAGCCTGAGTTCCAGGCTCCTGGCTTGAGCCCTGGGCATTGTGGCCATTTGCGAGTGGAAACAGATCTCTCTGTAACTCTTTTTTAAGATTTATTTACTTATCTTGAAAGTCAGAGTTACAGAGAGAGAGTGCTCATCCATCCACTGATTCACTCCCCAAATGGCTGCAACAGCAAGGCCTGGACCAGTCCAAAGCTGGGAGCCAGGAGCTTCTTCCAGGTTTTCTGCAAGGGTTTAGATGCCCAAGTCCTTAGGCCATCTTCTGCTTTCCCGGGACATCAGCAAGAAGCTGGATCAGAAGTGGAGCATCTGGGAATATGAGATTCCCGTGCTACAGGTGGAGACTTAGCCTGCTAGATCACCACACCGGTTCCTAACTTTTCAAATAAACATGTATCTGTTTCAAAACCTGGAGATGCTCTTCTGGCCATACCTGAGATCTGACTAGGGAAGAACAGCCAGAGATGGGATGGACCCGGGTGGCTTTAAAGGTAGAGAGGGAGACTCTGAGCCACAAAAGACAGCCAGCCTCCCCCTAAAGGGAGCAGAATGATGCAGTGCTGGGCCCCAAGGATCCCATCCCTAGGAGGCCTATGTCCAGCTCCTACAGAACTGCTGCCTGACGGCCATCCCAGGCCCTGAAGCAAACTAACGTGATGCCTTGCTCCCAGGGCTGCTTCCTGCCCTCCCAGCTTCCCACTTTCCTTGGCTCAAGCACACTGCGTCCTCCCATGGCCACACATGCTCCTGCCGCTGTCCAGCCTGGGTCCCTGATCTCCCATCAACGCCTGCCTTTCGCTGGCCCCATGCCAGCCACACCCCGCCTGCCCAGGCTGCGTGCTCCCACTAGACCTTGACCTCCTTGCACGCACATGGTGCCCGTCACTCTTCTTCCTCCTGCCTGAGCCTGATCAGCAGGGGTCCACAGCAGGTTGCCAACAGGCCCAGGGTGTAGTTCTGGAAGAACCTGAGGGTTACTGCCCAAGATCACGCTCTGGGGAGGGAGAGAGGCAGCCCCTTGGGCCTTCTTGCTGGAAGATTGCTATGTGCGAGAATGAAAGAAACAAGGACTTGAAGAGGGGGTAGAATATATAAAAAGGGAGAGGGATAGAGAATATTTGCATACTTTTGGAAAGAATTGACTGTTGTTGGAAAGATATCAGAAAGTTCATGGAAATGGAATTGAATTTATTTTTGGTGCAAAAAATTTTGAAATATGTACATCCAAAGGATCTTTCAAAAATTCACCAAAAAGTGCATTAGTTAGTTTAAAACTGGAATTAGCATTGTGGTGCAGCTGGTAGAGCCACCTTGTGTAATGCCAGAACCCACATGGAAGTCAGTTCATGCTCAAATTGCACCATTTTGCATCCAGCTCCCTGCTAATGACCTGAAAAAGGCAGCAGAGGATGGCCCAAGTGCCTGGGCCTCTGCACCTATTGGGGAGACCTGAACGAGGCTCCTGGCTTTGGTTTCACTCAACATTGGTTGTTGTATCCACTTGGAGAAGACCTACCCCACCACCCCTACTCTTTTAAATAAATAAAGCAAAACAAACCAACAGCCTGTGTGGATTTCAAGGCAAAATATTAGCTTCTCAGCAGGACAGGAAGACACAGAGGAAACCATCATCTTTAATCAAGCCACCTGCACAGAAACCCGGGAAACACGTCCCGCCGTGCAAGGTCCCTGGCAAACACCATCTTACAGAAACAAAAGGCTTTCAAAGCACCAGTGGCTAACCCCCCTGTGTTATAGAAAGGGGCCTGGAGGGACTGGGAGTGAGGCCTGGAGGAGCAGCTGGCCCGGCTGTCCGCTTGTCTGCCGCTGTCCCCACTGGCTGAGCATCTGTGAGGTTAGTGCCCGAGGTGCCCTGAGGACTGCCTGGGGTTGGCCAGGTAGGCTGTAGGTATGAATGGCAGCCTAAGGTGGGGCTGCCATCACAGCTCAGGGCAGAAGGGAGGACACCAGGCAAGGAGCAGGGAGGTGCTCAGAGACACAACCCACCTGTGTTATCAGGGCTGCTTCTCTTTCCCCAGTGCCTCCCAGCACTGCACCCATTTCACAGATTGGCCTGATCCTTGGGCCTGTGGACTGGCCAACCATGATACAGGGTCCTCAGGGATGTCCCTGGAGGAGCTGGGTGGAAAGAACTCTTCCTTTCACCCAAGGGAAGCTGGGTGGTGGCGCCGCAGACCCCTCCTAGCTACACCCATTCTGCCCTTCCAAAATGCCTTCTGGACACAGCATTTGGGCACAACCCAAAGCCAAGAGCCACTGCACTGGGGGTTAGTTACGCTGGTGATCTGAAGACACAGGACTGGGCGGTGCTGGGTCAGCCCTCTGCCCCCTGGGGTGTGTATGGGGTAGATCCTGGGGCGGCCAGCCTGACCTCAAGGGATGGGAGCAGGTGCTGAGCTGACGGCATGGTACCGGAGGACAGGGTATCGAAGAGGGCTTTGCAGAGGGCACCTAGCAAGTCTTCCCCGGGGCAGGGGGCTGAACCCCGGGCTCTGTCCACCCAGTGAGAACAGATGGGTATATTGCTTTACAAGAGGTGTTGGTGAGGGTGGTGGTGGTGTGGGGGTAAGGTAACCACATGGGTTTCCCAAGTGTCCAAGCTTGCTGGAGATGCTGGAAGTAGAATGAGAGCCAGATGCTGTGTTTTTGGAGACTGAGATGACAGAAGTACAGTGTTCAAGACCTCCAGCAAATCACTCTACATCTCTGGGCCTCAGTCTCCATATCTGCAGAATGGGAATGATACCTTTGTCTGGGGAACTGAGAACCATACAAGGCAACTGCAGAATTTCATCTGCTAAGAGATCCTTTTAATCACTCGGGGTCGGGGGGTTGGGGTGGGGGTGAGCCTGAGGCTCAGAGAGGGCCAAGACTGAGTTAGGTGTAGGAGTCAGTGATGGAGCTGCGACTAGAACCCAGCACTCCCACCGTTTGTTCACAGTAGCTATTCCAAGGCTGGTGAATGAGTGTGGGGAGACGGGGTGGGCGTCTCCACTCGGCTGTTTGTCTCTCTGGATAGTGGCAGGGTGCTGGGTGAAGGTTGAAAGGGAGAGATTGGAGAATGGAGCAAGGCCTCAGCACACGCCAAGGCAGAGATTAAAAAAAAAAATACAAATCCCGATATCCCCCTCCCCCGCTTCGCTTCGTTCCGCCCCCAAGTCTGGGCAGCAAAGGGCCAAGGTCAAGGCCAAGTTCAGCTTCTCTGGCAGTGGACCCAAGTGGGGCCGGCGCAGGCTACAGTCAGTCCGCCGGCCGCCAGGGGGCACGCCTACCCTGGCTAGGCCCGAGCCAGCTGCGGCCGCCTGTGCGTCCGGCCTCCAAGGGCGCAGCGTCTGCAAGGGCTGGGCAGCAGTTACCCCGACCTGCAAGAAACAAAGACAGGTTAGGGGAGTGGACTCCGAAGGCCCCGACTGGGGGACCAGGTCCGGTGCCCTCCTGCCCCAGCCTCCAGCGCCCTGCCCTCCTGCCCGCAGCCAGCTCCGCGCGGGTACCCACGTGTACAGAGGCTGCAGCTGCAGATGCGACGTCTTCTGGGGTGCCTGGTACCCGTAGGAGTCGAAGCCGCCGATGAAGTCAACTGCGGAGTGGGAGGAGGCGCCCGGTTAGGCCGAGGGAGGCTGGGTAAGAGTCTAAGGGCGGGGGCCAGGGGACGCCGGGACCAGCAAGAGGCCAAGAACCTGAACGGGGGACACCTTGCAAGGGGCAGACAGCTCCGAAGGGTAGAACGGAGGAGCCAGCACCCAGCTTTGCAGATCCCCTCCAGCCTGGAAACCAACGCAGGACCGAGCCCGGGCCCCTGTCCAGGGTGCTGAAGAACAGGGCACTGTGGGGTCCCCTTACTCACAGCTGTCCTCCTCCTCCAGGAACACTTTGCTCACGTAGCAGGCGAAAACGAAGCCGAAGAGCTAGGGAGGGGCGAGGGGGGAGGAGGCAGAGTTAGGGAGGGGTGAGGACAAAGGCAGACCCCCCCTAACAACTTCAAGTTGAAAAGGCAGCTCCTTGCACACCACATCCTGACCTGGCTTCTTAGGGTCCTACGACCTTGAAGAGGGCGAGTGACTCATCCAAGGCCACACACTGTGGCAGTATGGTATGTTTTTCTTTCTTTCTTTTTTTTTTTTTTTTAGAGGAGGACAGGCAGCGTGACAAGGGAGAGAGGATGGGAGAGGGAGAAAGATCGCTCACTGGTTTCACTCCCAGGTGGGCACAAAAGCCAGAGCTGGACCAACCCAAAGCCAAGAGCCAGGAGCTCCACCCAGGTGGCACACACGGACGGCAGGGACTCGAACCACCAACTGCTGCCTTCTCAGAGTGCAATAAAAGGAAGCTGGACTGGAAGTGGAGAAAGGACTCAATCCCTGGTAGTCAGATCTGGTTTGTAGGTGTCTCAACGGGTGACTCAGTCTGCTGTCCACAGCAGCCAGCGGACGCTGGATCCAGACTGACTCATGGTTGATGCCTCAGTGTATTTGTTCATCCTGCTTAACTCCCCAAGTGGGTGCTGGGTAGGGGGATGAAAGGAGCTGGGACAGGATATGGAATCAGATCTGAACAGGAGCCCAAGCAGGCTGCAAGACATCAATTTGTTTCTGTTTATGTAGGGTAAAAGAAAGGTCTTGGGGCGGAAGAGAGAAAGACTCACAGCCAGGAAGATCTGCAAGGCGCTGCTGAGAGCTTCAATGTAGGGATAGTCGAGCAGGCATCCGGTAACAGAAATGACGTGGTGGTCTTCCAGGGCCAGGCGGGAGTTCAGAACAGGTGTCACCAGGCAGCCTGGCCCGTTCTCCATCCACCAGGAACGGTGCAGGGACGTGTTGAAGGTCATGATGAAGTCCCGGTCCTGGGAGCAAAGGGGCCTGGGATACTGAGCAGGGAGAGGGAAGGGAAGACTCCCCAGGTTCCAGAAGACTTGATAGGAGGCCTAATTCATCCCCAGACTTTGGTTTGGGAAAGGATCAGGAATCTGTACTGCAAGTCCACAACTGGCCAGTAGGTGGCACTTGACAATCATGCAGACACTGAGATGCAAAGGGGCTGGGGTTTGACCCACAGGCTGTGATATCATAGCCAGAAGGGATGTTAGCAGTGGCCAGTCCACTCTCAGCCATTGCAGAAGTCTCCAGGATCCAACATAGCCCAATCAGTTTCCACTGCTCCCTCTGTGTGTGACCCTTGGGGAAACACCCTTCTCTTTGCTCCTCGGTATAGTTGTTTTGAAAGGCAGCGACAACGAAACAGAAAAATAGAGAAGAGCCTGCAGGGCGGCATAACAAGTTAATCCTCCACCTGCAGTGCCGGCATCCCATATGAGTGCAGGTTCGAGTCCTGGCTACTCCATTTCCATCCAGCTCCTTGCTTATGACCAGGGAAAGCAACAGAGGATGGCTATGTCCTTAGGACCCTGCACCCATGTGGGAGACTCAGAAGAAGCTCCTGGCTTCGGATTGGCTCAGCTCTAGCCATTGTGGCCATTTGAGGAATGAACCAGTGGATAGAAGATCTCTGTCTCTCCTCTCTGTAAAATTTGCCTTTCAAATAAAAAAAAAATAAATCTTTCAAAAAAGGAAAAATAGGGACAAGGGTCCCCCACCTGCTAGCTCACTCCTCCAATGCCTGAGGAAGCAGGCATTGGGCCAGGCCTAAGACAGGAGCTGTGAATTCAGCCGAGCTGGGTGGCAAGGACTCATGACTCAGCCACCAGCTGCAGCCTCCCAGGCTCTGTGGCGGCAGGAAGCTAGACCGGGAGCCAGAGCTGGGACTTGAACCCATGTTCCTCCTGCATGTGTCAAATGGAGAAGGGCTAACATGGATCAGAAGTTCTTGCCCAGCCTGTGCACCTACATGCTCTCACTTGGACAGAGAGGCCTGGTGAGCTGACCAGATGTGTGACCTCATTTCGTGCCTGCTCTCCCTAACAAACTGCAGCTCAGGCCAAGCTACCTGCCCGGGATCACACAGCTAGGACCATAAGAGCTTGAACTGGAATCCCACAGGGTCAGATTATGCAGCTAATGTTCTTATCAAATGGTTTCTCTGTATCTAAACATAGAATTTGTGTCATCCTGACTTTGCTCTCACTTTCTTCATTATTTCTCGGTGTCACAAAGTAAGCTCCATTTGCCCTGACAAATTTGAACTAGCGTCTCTCCTTTCTGGAAGGCATGGGTTGGAACTGGATTCAGATCTCTATGGTGTCCACAGGACAAATTGTGTGGCCCTTGGACCTCGCCTGTTATGAGGCTCCCTATCCTGGAGCCTCAGGCCAGCTCCCCAGGCCCCAGCTCTGTTGACTCTCTCTCAACTTGCATCACCTGCAGTTCATCTCTGCACACGCCACTCACTGGGCTTCACTGTCACAGAGGAGGCCAGAAGCAAAGACATGGAGGAGTGAGATGTGGGGGAAGGGAGGGAGATCTCTCCCAGGAATGAGGCCCTTAGCCCACTCCACACAGTGCAGGGGGATGGTCTGGGCCTGCCCAGGGCATTGCCAGGCCCGAGGCTTACCTGGGACAGCTGTCCAACCTCCAGGTAGAAGCAGATGATGAAGGCGTTCCAGCCCACCCAGAGCACAAGCCAGGCTGCGTACTGCGGAGAGCAGAGGTGGGTCAGCCGGGGCTGGGGGAGGGGAGGGGGTTAGGGGAAGAGAGGGGTCTAGGAGAGGGGAGGGGGCTGGGGGAAGGGGAGGGGGCTGGGAGAAGGGGAAGGGGCTGGCTGAGGGGAGGGGGCTGGGGGGAAGGGGATGTTCACAGAGACAGAGCTCAAGAGCAGACCTGTGTGGGGGGACAGTGTGACAACTGCTCACTCAGAGGGCACATTATTGCAGATCATTCTCACACTGCCCCCCAGTCCTCACCACAGTCCTGTTGAGGGGGGTCGGGGGGAGCAGCTGGGTTCTCTCAAGGGAAAACCTACAGGGCCAAGGGTAGAGTCAGGCTCCCCATGCTCAGACACACACCGCTGACAGGGAGGGTGGGATCAGTGCCTAGAGCCTGGTCTTGGGAGGCTCAGGAGAGCTGGAACCACCAGAATCACTCAGGGAGCTTGTTAAAAATGCAGATTCTGAGGCCAGCATTGTAGTGTTGTGGGTTAAGCTGCCACTTGCAATGCCTGCATCCCATATCAGGGCCAGCTTCTCTGCTTCATCCAACTTGCTGCTTGTATGCTTGGAAAGCACTTGCACCTCTGGTACCCATGTGGGTGAGCCAGACAGAGGTCCAGGCTCCTGGCTGTCCTGCTCCTGAACCTGTCCCGGCTGTTATAGCCGTCTAAGGGATGAACTAGTGGATAGAAGGGCTTCCTCACCCTCTCTTTGTAACTCTGCCTTTCAAACCACATCAAGTAAGTCTATTTAAAAACAGATTTCTTGGTTCTGCTCTCCAGAACTACTGAATTATTTTTAGACAATTTATTTATTTGAACAGCAAAGAGAGGAAGAGATAGAATGAGATCTTCCATCCACTGGATTACTCCCAAAATTGCCACAAATTGCTGGACCAGGTCTAAGCCAGGAGCCTGGAACACCTGTATGGGGGTGGCAGGGCCCCAAGCACATGAGCCATCTTCTGCTGCTTTCTCAGGTGCATTAGCAAGGAGCTGGATAAGAAATGTGGACTCACACTGGCACCCATATGGGATGCTGGTTTCACAGGCAGTGGCTTAGCCAGCTGTGCCACAGCACTGGTCCTATGGGAGCTTGTTGTTCAGAATATATTCTCTTGATAATGAAGTTCTCCCACTGAGAATGTCTCTAGGGAAAAATATCAATCTTGGCCTCTTTGAGCAAATTGGCACTGGGATTTGGGCATATGTCCACTAACTGGGCTGGGCTGGAGCTGAGCCTGTGGAATGCCCAGCAAGGGAGAAGTGGAGGGCACCTTTGGCTGAAGGAGTAGGAATAGGCGGGGCAGATTAGGAAGGAGCTGGGCGGGCCGTACCAGGATGAGGTACCGGGAGCGGTACTGCACGGTGCCAAAGATGCCCAGGATGACCGCCATGATGTGCAGGAAGTTGGCCAGGATGGGAGCCCACTGGTAGCCCAGGAAGTCGAAGATCTGCCGCTGCAGTGCAGCCACCTGTGGAACAGACAGACTGAGGCCACTGTGTGCCTAGGAGAGATGGACAGGTACTCCCCTTTACCCTGTGGAGCAGGCAACACCAGTTACTATGACAACAAGGCTCAAGGCAGTGGTACCAAAGGATGCGGAGAGGCAGGGTGAGCCCGTGCAGGTGGAGGCATCTCTAAGCATGGTCATCCCTTTAGGGTGATAAGAGGCCAGGAGCCAGGGCGCAGGACCTCTTCTTCCCTGCTGAGGGCTCCCCACTAATAGCTCAAGCTACTGCCTCTTCCTGGCATGCGGTCACCATCTGGACCGCCTCTCCCTGCACTGGCGGAAGTCACTTCCTTAGCCACAGTAACCCAGTGACAGATCTTTCATCTGCTGGTTTGCATCCCAAATGGCTCTAATAACCATGCTGAAGTCAGGAGCTGGTGGCTTCGTCCCAGATTCCCATGTGGGTGCAAGGGGCCAAGCACTTGGGCCATCCTCTGCTGGTTTCTCAAATCACCAGTCGGGAGCAGGATTGGAAGTGGAGCAGCCAGGACTCACACTGGTGTTCATATGGGATGCTGGCACTGTAGACAACAGCTTTACTTGCCGTGCCACAGTGTAAGCCAGCCCCTGCTTCTGGATCTTGATCCAGAATTTCCATTGAAAGCAGCACCCTTGTGTGCAGCTGATCTGGGTCCCCGCCAAGAGGAGAGCTTACTTCACTTTCAACTTTCAGCTAGAATTGTGCAAGTCGAAGCCACTGAAGCTTCTGTGCTGTTGGCTAGTGTTTCTGCTATTAATGACTGGTCCGCTTCTGTTGGAGTATGAAGGAGTCTATTTTTTTCCCCTAACAATTTCACCATTTTCCCACTGTAAGTTGGGTGTTTGTTCTTGCTTTAATTACAGCAGGTTTCACGTTGCTCTGATGGGGCCTTTCCAGAATGGTATCTCACCCTAGATCTTGCTCAGCTAGGGATTAACTAGTGGGGATGAGTTCACGCAGGTGCCAAACAGGCTAAAACCCAGGCATGGTTTTAGCTCAGTGCCCAAGACTGTTTGGAGACCCTCATGCTTCTCATTTCTGTCACTTGCAACCAAGAGTCAAGAGAGAGCAGAGGGTCTGGCTTGGTGGGGAGGGGGAGAAGGTACGCTTCTGATAAAAACGAGAAGATCCAGGCAGGGAGGCAGGTGGAGGTGCAGCTGATGCCATCAGACAGATGGCAAGGACTGGGCAGAGGCCAAGGAAGCTGCAGGTCCAGGCAAAGGGAGAGAAATAAGCCTGGTGGCTAGGCCTGACCCTGCCACATGGGTGCCTCCCCGCCCTGGGCTCTGCAGGCTGTAAGTTCATGTCCTTGGCAGAAAGCCAGAGCTGGGGACTGCATCTCATTTTTTTAAAATTATGTGTTTATGTGAAAGGCAGAGTGGCAGAGAGAGGGAGAATCTTCCATCTACTGGCCCACTCACCAAATGGCAGCAACAGCTAGGGCCAGACCAAGTCCTAGCCAGGTACCAGGAACATCCGGGTCTCCCATGGGAGTGGCAGGGACTCAAATAATTAAGCCATCATCTATCTCTGCGTCCCAGGTACATTAGCAAGGAGTTGAATCAGAAGCAGAGGAGCTGGGACGTGAACCAGCGCTCCCATATGGGATGGAAGTGTTCCAAGCAGTGGTTTAACCTATCCACCCCCCATGAGTTCATTTTAAGGATGAGAACAAGAGGCCCAGACAAAAATTATTTGCCCAAAGTCACAGAGCACATTGGAGGCAGAAAAGACCTTTCTCTGCCACTTGCTCCTCTTGGGCACCAATGCACCACTTTCCCAGGTGGCACTGGCCTGGGAGTCGAAAGGTACAAGTCCTGGTGAAGATTCTTTCGCCGGCCACCTGGTGACCATGGGCAAGCCACATGCCCTGTTGGTTCTCACACTTGGCTCCCATGCATGGACAAGATTATCTCTAAGGCGACTCCCAGTTTGATTTAGTTACTTTATTTAGGAGGCAAAGAGATACAGAAACGGAAAGGTCTTCTGGGCACTCCCCAGATGCCCTCCCTGCCCTTCCTGCTTTGACTGCAATGGTCTGATGCTCTTGGGGGATAAACTCCCCAGGTCTGTCCAGCACCCAACGCCATGCCTCTGCTGCTCCCAGTCCCCAGTGCTCCCCTCACTTCCATCTCTCCCCCTATCCTACTCTGGTGCTTTGGGGTTTAACTTGATATTCTGAATTCAGCTGGTACCTGGTCCTAGGGGAGAAGGTCTCCCTCAGAGGATGGAGGAGGAAGCAGCCGTGACAGATGCTCAGGTACTTGGTGGGGCTCAGAGAGACCCTGTCCCAATATGTCCACCTAAGAGATGGCATCACCTTATCCCTTGGTGGGGTGAATATTGGTGGGGAAAAAAAACAAAACAAAAATGAAGTTACTCAAAGTCAAGTTCAATTTCTAACTGTCTTACATGTCCTGGGATAAGTCACTCTCTTTTGAACTTATTTCTTCAGCTGTTGTTTCACTTTTCAAATAAAGAAATGAATAATTTCTTTAAAAAAGAAAAACAGCATGCAATGAAGTTACAAGTTGTTCATTTCTGAAGTTGTCCACTTAATATTCTCACTGCAGATAACTAAAACCATGGCTAAGGAGTGACTAGTGTCTCTTCAAAAAATAAACATGAGACTGATGTGATGGCATAACAGGCAAATCTTACACCTGTGATGCCTTAGCACTACGTGGATGCCGGTTTGTGTCCTGGCTACTGCACTCCCCATCCAGCTCCCTGCCATTGGCTTGGAGAAGCAATGGAGGATGGCCCAAGTCCTTGGGCCCCTGCATCCATATGGGAGATCTGTAAAAAGCTTCTGGGTCATGGTTTCAGATCAGCCCAGCTGGCTGTTGTGACCATCTGGGGAGTGAATCAGCAGAAGGAAGATCTCTCTCTCTCCCCCTCTCCCTAACTTTTTCAAGTAAAATATTCTTTTTCAAATCATCACTTGGTGTCTTATTGAATAGTCTGAATCCTAAGGTTGCAGTATGTTTATAAGCAAAACAAGTCCCACGTTTTAGAACTTCTGCTTGTGCAGTAGTGCTCTGCAGCTAACAAATAACGTTTAGAACAAAACAGGAGAATCTTCCCCAACTGGCTACACCAGCTTAGAAATCATAAGCCGGGCCTGGCACAGTGGCACAAGTGGTTAAGTCCTCGCCTTGCACACCCAGGATCCCATATCGGCGCCGGTTCTATCCCGGCAGCCCTGCTTCCCATCCAGCTCCCTGCCTGTGGCCCGGGAAAGCAGTTGAGGACGGCCCAAAGCTTTGGGACCCTGCACCCGCGTGGGAGACCCAGAAGAGGCTCCTGGCTTCAGACTGGCATAGCATTGGCCGTTGCGCTCACTTGGGGAGTGAATCATCAGACGGAAGACCTTCCTCTCTGTCTCTCCTCTCTGTATATCCGCCTTTCCAATAAAAAAATAATAAAAATAAATCTTAAAAAAAAAAAAAAAGAAATCATAAGCCGCCCCAGCTGTAGACAATGGCCCTGGGTTAGATTGCCTTGTACCTTGGCAAGTGTTACACTGCTGGGAGAAAAGCAGCCAAGGCCAGCGGGCATTCTGGGCCTGGTCAACTATACCGGTGTGCAGCATAGTTGCTACACTATTGCATGCATACCAGTTGGGGGTACCCCTACTGCCATTGCTGCTACCACAAGCATGGAGGGGTGGCATGCAGGTCAGAATGGGGGCCACTGAGGGCTTGTCTGACATATGTCAAATGATTTCTAGGGGCTTCCATGGACCTTGCCAATGCACCCACAGACAATCAAGGGAGCCAAGAGGGTAGACCAAAACGGAGAATCACAGGGCCTCCCTGGGTCAGGCCAAAGCACTCTCTCACACACACACAAGAGCCCTGGCTGGATATGGACTGGACCAGGCTAGGCTGTAGCACCTGATGGCACTTGCAAGAGCTGTTTGGGGAGGTGCAGTCTGTAACAGGTTCTTTGGAGTCAGTCACCCTGACTAGGCCACAGCAGCCACTGATGAGTGTCAAGACTGCAGGTAAGCCATGTCAGGCTGGGCCACAGCACCTGCCAGCACATGCAAGAACTGGGGTTGGGAGTGGGTTTGGCAGGGAATCTTTGGGAACACTCCTTGTTAGGCCACAGCACCCACTGCAGCACACAAAAGCCAGGGCTGGGGGCAGTCTGGGCTGGCCTAAGTTGCAGAACACACCATGGAACATGGGAACTGGGTCAGGAATAGGGCCAAATAGGGATTTTCGGGGGTCTTGTTGACTAGGCCACAGCACCCACTGGTATAAGTAAGAGCTGGGTCTGGAGGTGGCCCAGGCCAAGTCACCCCACCTGCCAGGTCTGAGAGCCAGGTCTGAGGATGAGCTGGACTAGACTGGGCTGCAACACCTGCCAGCAAATGTGAGAGCCAGATCAGAGGAGGGGGCCAATGGGGCCTCTGGGGTTTCCACAGCTAGGTTATAGCACTCACTGATACAAGAAAGAGCCAATTCTTGGGGCAGACAGGGCCAGGCTAGCATACGTGGGGGTTGGATTTGGGTGTGGACCTAGATGAGGTTTTGGGGTCAGCCTGACCCGGCCACAGTACCCGCCAGTACAGGTTGGGTTGTAAGGGTTGGGTCTTGGGGCAGGCTGGGCCAGGCCATGCCATAGCATCCACTGGCACACTGGTTCTTGGGGTCACTGCAATCAGTCTGCTGTACCACCAGTGCACACAAGGCTGGGAAGGGCTTCAGGACCTGAGCACCAACTCAGTATTGACTGTTAGCAGTTGGCTCGATGGGTCCAGCCCACCTGATTCCTAACCTCGGGGAACACTACACGGCCATCTGGTTTGGCCTCAGAACACATGTTGTAGGATTGAGCCAACCCTGTTGCTGACTTCATGTAAGGAGAGACAACCTATTGCGATGCACAGGAAGACAGGGCAGCCAGCCTCTCTGATTCAACAGAGGACTTGAATGCCTCACCAAGAGATGCAAAGAAGAGCAAGTTGAAT